TTGAGTTCATTGAAGAAAGAAATAAGCGCACGCTTTTCTTCCTTCTTCAATGTCCATGACGCAATCGAAAGTTTGAATTGGCCATTCTCTAGCTCCATGGGATGCAGCTCCTTCCTGATTCCCAAGTGTTGCATGTCCAGGCGTGTGGCTAGTGAATCCTTTGATGTCCCCCTGGTGTCCATCAAGGTGTTAAGAGTGTTAGCGCACACGTTTTTAGTGATGTGCATGGGATCAAGATAGTGGCGTACACTAAGAAATGGCCAGTAAGGTAGTTTCCAGAAAACCAATTTTTTCTTCCAAACGCTCCCATCAGGCGCTGTTACTGCATTGTGCCCCTTCCCAACGACAACCTCCAGTTTGTTGAGTTCTCGAAGTATCGCAGGCCTGTCTCGATATTTTGAAGCTAAGCATTTCTCAATAGTACCGTTGAAATCTTTTCTGTTCCTGCGGTAAGGGTGATCCTTAGGTAGGAACCTATGGTGTCCCATATAAACTATATTTGAGTTATTTGGCAGATTTACCGCATCGGTGTCGTCCAAGCACTCGACACATCCAGTATAGCCTTTTGTCTTCTCTCCGGACAATGAACCTCGACCTGGCAGGTCGGTGATTGTAGCGATAAGTACTCCCTTGATCATGACATGTTCCTTTTTGTACTCGTCCCAAACATCCGGCACACCCTTTTCAAACATCTCCACTAGTTCATCGATCACTGGTTCCAGAAACACATCGATGTCATTCCCAGGTTGTCTTGGCCCTTGGATCAGTAGTGGCATCTAGATGTACGACCGCTTCATACATACCCAAGGTGGAAGGTTGTATATACAAAGCGTCACTGGTCAGGTGCTATGATTGCTTCTAACCTGGTCGAAAGGATTCATCCCATCTGTGCTCAAAGCAAACCAAAGGTGCCTTACCTCTCCACCGATGTCCTTATAGAACATAGTATTGATAGTCCTCCACTCATGCCCATCGGCAGGGTGCCTCATCATTGTATCTTTCTTACGCTCTTCGCCATGCAGCGCAAACAGCTTGGCTGACTTTGCACATGCAAACAGCCTATGCACCCGGAGAGCTATAGGGAAATACCAAACGACCTTTACGGGACCTCCTCTGGTCTTGGTACCCTCATCTGACGGCCCTTCCTTGTACTGTGGAGCTTCACACTTGGGGCACTTGTCCAAGTCTTTGTATTTTTCTCCATGGTACAATATGCAATTATTAAAACACGCGTGGATTTTTTTAACTTTGAGGCCAATGGGGCAGATCATTTGCTTGGCCAAGTATGTCTTTTCTAGCAACTTGTATTTTTCTGGAAACATTTTTCTTATTATACCTAACAACTGATCGAAGCCTTTATCACTCAATCCGTTTGTCGATTTGAACTCTAACAGCATGATGTCGGCTTTCGGTTTGCTCATTGGACAATTCCTATACAATGGTGTTTTGCCATCTTGTCTTATTTTCTCTAGCTTTCTTAGCTGTCTTTCACTAAGACATCCGGTCTCTACATTACGTAGCAGCTGAAAAATGCTATCTTTATCCTCGATGTCGTCAGCTAGCGTGTTCCTAAACACATTATTAACTAAGATCATAGGTTCCGTATTGACACCGGGTTCCTCGTCAGCATCGTGGATGGCTACATCAGGCATGCCCACATCATCATCGTTTTCCTGTAGAACATTCACACCAACCTCACCATGCATAGTCCATATCGTATAGTTTGGCATGAACCCCCTGGTAATAAGTGCGATCGTATAGACTCAATATGACGAAAGTTCCTATGATTCTTGCAATCTTTGCATGGGTAGAAGACAGGGTTCTCATTCTCAGTATGGGCTTTGGCATCGGTGATAAACTGGCTGACGCCATGCATGTACCGCTTGTCCGTTTAAGACAGATGTATCCACTCTCGATCCATCTTTGCACAAAAAAATACTGAGAGAATAATTACGAAGAATTAATAAAAAATCGAGCTTCGTGAACAATAATTTTAGCTCGAAAGTACCATTTTTGGAAAATATTATTGTACACTAATTATTGAAAAATTGAAATTTGTAGTCCTGGCTCTGTAAATTGAAAATCGTAGTAAAAAATAATTATTGCGCAATAATAAAGAACATCTATTCTACTCTACTTTTAAGAACTAATTATAGCATCACATACTAACAATGATGATCTTGACCACTATGAAATAATTAGCTAGAAATTTAAATGTGTTCATAGACACCAACCGTTTGGATGATGGATTCACCACAATTTGAGCCTTGCACAAATGTCCAATTGAAAAAGTGCTCTCTAGAATAGAGAAAGAACTAGAATGAGAATCAAGCAATGTAGCCATCAAAACGAAGCTAATTAAGCAACAAAATCAAAGGAGTGAGTGTTTGTTACTAACCTTAAAGCAAAAAGATCAGACCATTCTTTAAAATCCTAGCACTAGCTTCATGGTGAAGAATAGCCACAACAATGGAGGGAAGGGTCCAAACGCGCGTCTATGTTGTCGGGATGGAAGAGAGGAGGAAGGAGAGGATGGCTGCAGCCTTTTTGTATTGTAAGCTTATCACCGTCGGTTCTTAGCTAGAACCGACAGTGATAGAACCCAATCACTGTCGGCTCTTGGCTTAAATTGGCAGTGATGAGTGACCGCCAAAACACTGCCGGTTCAAGCCACACACCGACAGTGATGTGGTCCTTCACTGTCGGTTTTAGCCCAGTCCCAATCATTTTTTCATTTTCAAGCTCATAACCGACAGTGAAGGTACATCATAGCCGGTTCTAACAAATCCAACAGTGATGATGCCGGCAGTGATGTGCAAATCTGGCGTAGTGAAAAAACACCTGAAAACACTTTATATGTGTGAAAACATATGCAACATCCAGATCGAAACGCTTGCAACATACGTATGGAAACAGATAAAACAGTTTGAACAAACCTTTGCAACATGCCTCTGAAACACTTGCAACATAAGCAACATATGCAATCTCCCCAAGTCTACTTTCGCAACATCCATATGAAACTATTGCAACATGCCTCTGAAATATCTAAAACAATTGAAACGTATATTTGTAACATAGGGGGAAGAGAGGCATGGGTCGATCAATTTCGGCCAACGGGGTGGGAGCCAGTGGCGAACGGCTGCGCGTGAGCACCACCCGGCACCAGTACCAGTGGCGCGCGCAAGCACCACCACCACCAGCGCTAACAGCATCGGGCTTGGCTCGGTGGAGACAGTGGGGATGGGGGGCGGGGAGCGCCATGGCCACTGGGGTGGGGGGGGGAGCTCGGTCGTTGGGGTGAGAGAGGGCGCCGCACCGGGGTGAGGGAGAGCCGCCGACTCCCCTGCAACACCACCGCGCCACCTCGATGGATCTTGCTCGTACTCCATGGATCTCGGCGGGTGGGGAGAGGCCATCGGATCCGCAGGTATTGGGCGCTCTTTGTGGGTGAGGACGACGCTGAGGTGGGGCGGGCGCCCGCCGGGTGGGGAGGAGGATGCGGGGTGAGGGAGCGCCACGCCTTGAGTGTAGGGAAGGGGCGCCCGCCGGGTGGGGAGGAGGACGCTTGAGGTGAGGGAGCGCGCACGCCAGGGTGGGTGAGGGCGCCGTCGCCGGCCAGAGAGGCAGCCATGGACGCGCGTCAAGGTGGGGCAAGGCGCGAGCGCGGAAGAAATAAGGATGGAAAGGAGGATGCGAGGAATAAGATTTTATTCGGTAGCAAGCGGCGCGTGCGGGAGTGGGCGGTGGGAGGCGTTGTATCATTATCATTTTTTTTTTCCAGGCCGTCACGTTTTGCGTAAATGGGTCATTCTCTGCGGTGTGGACGCGTACACGTTCCTTTCCGTTTCTTTCTAGAGCAGTGGAGCGCCTGCGGACTACGTAAATCCAGAGAGACGTCTCAGTTTTTCTGCGTCTTCCTTCCGGTTTCACCGTTTCAGCCTCTCACACTTTCGGGGTTGCCCCCAAAGCGCCGTCGACTAGCTTCCAGCCGGCAGCTCCCCAGCCCATGCTTCTTTAGCTTTCGCAAGTCCGTGTCAAAACAGCCACAGAACCTAAATATCTTGGGGACAGAATCTACTTGCTGCACGTAAAAACCCTGACATTAGTGCAGGACTTCGACAGCTTCACAGCATCAAAACCGTCAACTCGACAATGGCAAATCGAGATTGACTGAAGACGGATCTCAGCAGGGTTCAGATACAAAAATAAGCTCTGTTGTTCTGACTGGCTTAGCAGAGCTAGCAATTTCCGTCATTCACAGGTGAAGCCACAACCTGGACAGCCTCTCTGATGATGATTGATCAACTGTAACTCTCGACAGTATTCTGAACCTCATCTAGCACATCCCTATCCCTAAATAAGAAATACCAGAACAATCTTCTAATGGATTGTAATTATAGGCAACTAGTTTTCAATGTCAGTTTGGAATACAAAATACTATGGAAAAGAAATGTTCATCGCGAACTTGCCGATTACAAAGTAACTAATCAGGAAAGACTCAAGACACATTCATCGACACCTCATTTATCTGGGAGCAGCTGTGTTCGTACCAATGGAATTACAGCGCTAGTGATTTCATTCATTTACAAAACGAATCATCTATAGTCTTCATCAAGATGAATCCAAGCAGGAAAACATTATAATATATAGACTCTGTGACTCACTCTGCTAATGGAACTAAGCAATAACCCGAAAGTTTAACCAATCCTTTCAAAGCCATCATAAACTTCTTATTTCTCGAGAATTTTGAATGAAGGGCTCAACAATGAATCAAGAGCATCTGAGGATAGATGCATCAACAGTTTAAGTTTTCAGAAGAGCAGCTCTGTTGTTTATAATTGGCATAGTTTTGCTAATGATTTTCCATATTCACAAGCCATCCAAGATCAACACGAAGATGAAACTACCCAATGAACGTTACAATCTCTACCGATTAATTATTGAAGAACCGTAACTTTTAACAGATACAAGAAACCATACAATAGAATGGTAAAGTAGTTCTAGTTCAAATGAGACCTCCTAAGCACAAGGAGCGGGCGTAGCGGCTTCTTCATGACGACAGTGAACTCGTTCTTCTCGGCGAAGTCCACCTCGTCGCCGGGCACCTCCTTCCACTCGTACTCCAGCACCATGTTGGCAACGAAGTACTCCAGGTGCAGCATGGCGATGCCAAGCCCAGCACAGATCCTCCGGCCCACGCTGAACGGCATCATCCTGATCGCCTTGGTGCCCGTCACGTCCACGCCCTCGCCGTCTCCGCCGGGGAGTAACCGCTCCGGCGAGAACTGCATCGGGTTCTTCCATTCCTGCTCGTCCCGGCCCATCTCAGCGACCATGAAGTTCACCGTTGTGCCCTGGGGGATCAGGTACCCACCAATATCCATGTCTTCCGCCGCCTTGTGAAGCAGCACGAAGTGGCCCGGCGGGTGCTTCCGGAGGGCCTCGAGGATCACCGCCTTGAGGTATGGCATCTTGTGGACGTCCTCCTCTGAGACCTCTTCCTTGTCGTCGTCCGTGGCGGCCTTGACCTCGTTGTAGAGCTTCTCCTGGATGGCTGGGTTTTTGACAAGCTCGGCCATGACCCACGTACTGGAGCCCTGTCGACGTGGTGTCCGTGCCGGCGTTGAGGAACTCGCAGCATAGGCGGATAATCTCATCATCTGTGAGCGGGCGTTCGCCGTCCTCTTCAAGCTTGATGTCGAGCATGGTGTCCACGTACGAGTGCTCGAACGTGGTTTCCCCTTTCGGCTCGCCTCCCCGCTTCTTGTATTCCCGACGCGCGTTGATAAGCGGAAGAAGGAGCTCCTTGACGCGCCGCCGCAGCGCCAGCGCTTTGTCGAGCCGCGCGCGGAAGAGGTGCTGGTGACGGCAGGGAAGAAGGCGAAGATTTGCATGTTCTTGGAGCGGTAGATGATTGCTTCCCGCTGCGCAGTAGCGATCGCGCGCACCGCGGGCTCGTCGAGGCGCTCGCCAAAGCACATAAGCACGAGGAGGCAGAACATAGCGTACTGGAACGTCTCCACGACGCGGGGCGGCGTAGCGTCGGGTCCGGGCTCCCCGAGTCCCCGAGCTTCTCGACGAGCACGCGGCGCACCCACGTGCGCGCCGGCGCGAAGAGCTTCACCCGCGACGGGTGCAGCGTCTCGGCGACGAGGTTGCGGCGCTGGAGCCTGGAGGCGCCACACGGGTGTTGGGACCGGCGATCACTGCCGGAGCCAGGATCCTACCGGCGCGCGATCACCGCGAACATGACGTCGAGACAGGAGATAACACACGCGAGAAAGAAGAGAGTTTCAGTGCAACTGGCGTAGCTTTTTTTCTTGATGCATTTGCTTGTATTAAACACGGGCTCGATCCGACATCCCCGCCACGACTTACAGCTGCACGGTGCGCCGTCATTTGCGGACGCCCATGCGACATGCACGGCGTGCACGCCATGGCGGAGTCAGCCCCCTGGACGCGGTCATGACGCAGTGGTGTGCAGTCTCCGCCCCTGCCCACGATTCTACACGAATTACAAACGTGTTCAGAACATAATTGAACTACCTAATGCACCTAACGTGCTGATACAAACTGTCACGATTACAAGAGGCTAAATCAACAATTCACCCCCTTAATCGTGACACACATTGCCGACGCCCAACTGTTGACGCATCTCGACGAATTTGATCCTCCCAAGTGGCTTCGTCAGGATGTCTACAAGCTGTCTGTCGGTGCTAATGTGCTCAACTTCTGCAATGCCATCACTGATACATTGTCTGATGTAATGATACCGTGTATCAATGTGTTTGCTTCTCTCTTGATACACTGGATTCTTGCTCAATTCCAGAGCCGATTTGCTGTCCATTAGAAGCCTGAATCTCTGCACACCTCTTCCTGTCAGGTCTGCAATGAGCCTGCTTAGCCAAACCCCTTGACATGCTGCTGAAGCTGCTACAATATAAGCTAGACAGTGACACCACCCTTTGCTTCTGTGAAGTCCATGTCACCACATTGCCATTCAGGAAAAACACAACTCCAGAGGTACTCTTTCTCTTCTCAAGGTCACCAGTATGATCACTGTCAGAATATCCCACACAACTCCAGAGGTACTCTTTCTCTTCTCAAGGTCACCAGCATGATCACTGTCAGAATATCCCAACAGTTTCAGGTCTGAAGAGGATCTACTCACATATCTGCACCCATATTCAGTAGTGCCTGCTATGTATCTAACAATCCTCTTTATAGCAGCCCAATGTTCTAATAATCCTCTTTATAGCAGCCCAATGTTGAGTAGTGCGAGACTCCATGAAGCTACTAACCATGCCCACTGAAAAGGCAATGTCTGGTCTAGTATTCACTAAATACTCCTTAATTTTGTCACATCTCTTGCCAGATCAGGCCTCCTAGGTAACAGTTTACTGTTTTGTTCCATTGGAATGTCCACTGGATTGCAGCCTGTCATGCCACATTGCTCAACAATCTTTGCTGCATATGCTCTTTGGCAGATAGTAATCTCTCCAGGTCTCTGTCTCACTTCCATTCCCAGATAATAGCTCAATAAGCCCAAGTCACTCATACTAAAGGTCTTGCTCATCTATTGTTTGAATTCAGCAAGCTTGTTGTTATCAGGCCCACAGATGATGAGATCATCAACATACACTCCTAGCAATAACAGTGAGTTACCACTGCCTCTTTTGTAGACTACATGTTCCTCCTCGCTTCTACAAAACCCCAGCTTGACAAGCTCTTGATCTTATTTAGCATTCCAGGCCCTGGGTGTTGGCCCACAGGATCACCGGCTCAGGTGAGTCGACCACTCACCAATCTTGACGACCACAACAAACGTTGTCCGACCACACACTATGGCTAGAGGTAGAAGAAGTGAGGGAGAACAGAGTATACACACACAGTAGAGACACCAGCGTTTGCCGGAGCTCTGTATAGAAGATGGCAAATCTGAACTCTCTGTTTACTGAGTTACAGTGGCAAACTATTTATACAACTCTATCTATCTAGTCCTAGTATAGTTGTCATGCTGCTACAGTGACTAGATGTGACAGCAGAGCTGCCTCTGGCGCCTGCTCCTGTTGTGGCTACAGTGAGGTGGGTGAGCCGTTTGGTGCCTGCCCCTGCAGCGGCTACAGTACCACAGCAGGGAGCCTTTTCCGCGCCGCCTTCCCCTATCGTGTGTTCACACAAGGAAGCAGTAGATTATCTAACAATTCTTCCCCTAATCCTACTGCTAACCCTTGAACTCCCTCCATGCTGATCATCTGCTTCAGCTCCATGAGTCGAAGACGGCCGAGCGTCTTGGTGAGGACGTCCACGAGTTGCTAACCAGTTTCAACGAACTCGATGACGATCTACCCTCCATCGACACAGTCCCTGAGGAAGTGGAACTTAACGTCGATGTGCTTGCTCCGGTCATGGAGAACCGGATTCTTCGCGAGGGCGATGGCGGGTTGGTTGTCCACCATCAGTGCTGGTGGGTGAGCTTCTGCACTGGTCGGCTCGCCCAATAGCCGGCGCAGCCACACAACTTGGCACGCCACTGTGGCCGCCGCTACATACTCTGCCTCGCACGTAGATAGCGCCATCACCTTCTGTTTCAGCGATAGCCACACAACTTGGCACGCCGCTATGGCCGCCGCTACATACCAGAGGAAGACGAGCACGCTAGAGGTGCTCCGCCGTCCATCGATGTCCCCCACCATGTCTGCATCTTTGAACACAGTGAGCTGCAACCTACTTAGGCCGATCTTGGGGAAGACGATCCCCTGATCCACCGTCCCCTTGATGTAGCGCAGTAGCTGCTTCACTACAGCCCAGTGATCTTCTCTGGGATCCTCCATGAAGCGACTGACGTAGCCCACGGCGAACGCAATGTCCGGCCATGTGTGGACTAGGTAGCGTAGACCGCCGATGATGCTCCGGTAGAGTGTTGCATCTACGTTCGCCGCGGTACTGGCATTCGACAGCTTCAGTCGCTCCTCCATCGGAGTCATGCATGGCTTACACTCAGCCATGCCGCTCCACTCCAACAGCTTCGAGGCATATGGACTCTGACCGAGCATGAGTGCCTCCTTCCCTTGTCTCACCTCGATGGCGAGGTAGTAGGAGAGCGCCCCGAGATCGCTCATTCAAAAACGAGCCGCCATCTCATGCTTGAAGCTGTCGATGTCCTCCGCATGCGCACTGGTGACGAGCAAGTCGTCCACATACACGCCGACGATGAGCTCCTCCTTCCCCCGTCACCGCGTGTAGAGCGCATGCTCGGTTGCACACCTCGTGAATGAAACGACCTGATTTTCGCGAAGGGAAATCCACAGAGTCGAAGTGTATTATGACCGTTGTAGATCATATTACCCAAATTACAGTCGAATACCACATCCATACAACGATAATATCAGAGTACAAATAGTGCGAAATTACATAAATTATTACATCGCTGCATTGGCGGAATCAAAAGTAGCATTCATTCAGAACAGCTTGAAGATAAGATCGCCAAACTCGAGCGTAGGAACGAACCCCTCAACTATCAAACTCCTCAGAGCTATACTCCTCAGCAGAACCTGTGTGCCAAAATTTATCAGTACGATTTGTACTGGCCACTCCCACCCTATGAGCTATGCTTTGTGGAAATTGGATGCAAGTTGGATATAATCAGAAGGAACCTATAAGGCTGCGGTTTCCTATCTATTAGCATATCAAGTATATAATAGTATAGTCAAGTTTTAACACCATTCCCACACACATTCCACCCCATTTCCGTCCAGAGTCAGGTTTTGATCCTGGGATTGATATACCACCATCTCCATATCATCACCACACCATCGCTCAGTTGACAGGCCAACTCCCTCTTGGCACTGTCTCATGGCCCGTAGCCCCTGGCTACGACTGACACTCTCTCACGGGGGAAGAAGAGAAGGACTCATCTCGCTATCTAGTTTAAGCGAAACCCAGAAAAGGTCCATAGCCGACAAGTCGGCATATGTATCGATCGATCAACCATACACTTTGCAGAGGTTTTACATAACCACAAGATCCGCCTTCCTCGCTGACCGTCATCAACTGGGCTGATTCCGACCGCTTGCTAGCCTAGGATAATGCCACCCTACCATTCAGCCATGGTACACCCTAAGTCTAGTCTGGGGTGGCTGGAACTATGAGTCACGAGTCGGGTCCACAAGGTCTCCATGAAGTCTCGGAAGGGTGTGTGGGGGGGTGAATCCTCCGTGCCCCGTACCTCCTTGCACTGTCCGCTATCAACCTAGCAGTAGTGGCAATATCCTACCAAGTAGTCCGGCCATCCCGCACCATATAGGGCGAGTGGTACGTAAGGCTTCCCGGTGAATCTGAGTACTAGTAAGTCCTTAGGGATGACCAAGCCAGAATGTCTTCATTAGGGTTTCCATTTACCGTGCCACCACAGCACCTCCACCCTGGGCTCCTCCCATCATAGGTTCACACCCAGGGCCCCCTCATATACTATTTACCCACCATAGGTATCCATTTCCAGGGGTGCCCAGGTAGCACCCCGTGGCAAGACTTGCCCCAGGCTCATCGTATATTCCAACTTGGTCGACACAACCGTCACCCTCCACGCACCCAAGTCACACATGCAGCACTCTCCCCATAGTCCAGATAACACCAGTTTCCACCACGCATCAATGTAGTACAAGCGTAGTAGAAGTATTAAGCAATGAAATATAGGAGCAAGCATGTGTCTAGCCTAATAGCAGGGTAAGAAGGGGTAAGGTTGCGTCAAGGTATAGGCCATCAAGTAAGCATACTACCATGCAAGTCCTATCTTAGTGTGAATATAACAATAAAGTAAAGCAATAGCAGTTCTATATTAGCCATGCGTAATAGGTGCTACGAGGTTGGGTGGGATGTGGCACCTTCAGTGTAGTCGTCTCTATACTCCTCACGGTACTCTCAGTCCTCGTCCGTCTGGTTCTCCTCTGAGTCTGCAAACGATCGCATTATAGTCGCGTTAGCGACGTCTATAGAATAGCAC